TACATCGTGTTAATACATACATATAAACACATCACAAACAATAAACATATTACCAAACATTCTGAGAGATAAACATATACATTTCCTAGCACGGAGTTGGTCTTCAAAACATCAGTCTATTCCTCTCGTTTTATTTTATTTATTATTTATTTATTTATTTATTATATATATATATATATATATATATATATATATATATATATATATATATATATATATATATATATATATATATATATATATATATACATACAGGATTCTTGTACAGCCACCAGCACACACAGGGTTTCGGGCAAGTCCTTAATCCTAATATTCCCTGGAATACGACCCTGCCAAATCGTTTAACAACCAGGTACCCATTCATTGCTGGGTGAACAGTGGCGTACAGTTAAGGATTGGCACCTGGTCAATCCTCCCAGGCCAGGATATGAACCCAGGCCAAAGCGCTGGCGAAGCACCGAGCGAGTGTTTTACCACTGCGCCAAAGTGACTCTTTTTATTCGTTAAAAACACGAAAATTCTTGTTGACAAGAGTACGAGGTTGAGCATTGTAGCGATATGTTAATCACTATCTGAGAGATAGCAGGCAGCTCTGTTATCACTGACATCCAAGACACATCTAATGATAGTTCATTAAATTACATTTTTGGTCTGTCATTAAACATTTCTGTTCCGTCATTTGTTCTTCTTATGGCCGGCAGATCAGATGTTCTGAACGTCTTGGGTGTTCAGGGTCCCAGACCCAGTGATACTCCTCTGATGATACAGCTAACCAAGCAAAACCTTAGAAGGCTTTATTGTTTTATTTATATATATCACGTTATAACTTCAATTATTATTTTTTTACTTAATTACAAAAAATATGACAAGCTGTAATTTTTTTTATTCCTTGCGCCAATACTCTCAAGGAACCCCTGTATTCGACAGACCCCTGGTTAGGACGGCTGGGTGGACAGCGCTTAGGATTCGTAGTCCTGAGGTTCCGGGTTCGATCCCCGCCGGAGGCGGAAACAAATGGGCAAAGTTTCTTTCACCCTGTTACCTAGTAGTAAATAGGTACCTGGGTTTAGGCAGCTGCTACAGGCTGCTTCCTGGGGGTGTGTAACAAACAGGAGGCCTGGTCTAGGACCGGGCCGCGGAGACGCTAAGCCCCGAAATTGTCTCAAGAAGAACGGGAAGGGAATTATCAGGACACAGCGCAAAGCCATTACGACTATATAGCACTTGGAAAGGGTCAGGAAAGGGATTTGGGATGGGACGGGAGGAAGGAATGGTGCCCAACCACTTGGATGGTCGGGGATTGAACACCGACCTGCATGAAGCGAGACCGCCGCTCTCGGTCTATCTCCGTCAAACAATAGGCTGATACACAAAGATTTCATCAGACCACACACTAGAAGGTGAAGGGACGACGACGTTTCGGTCCGTCCTGGACCATTCTCAAGTCGATTGTTGTCCAGAATGTCCTGGACGGACGACGTTTCGGTCCGTCCTGGACCATTCTCAAGTCGATTGTGGTCCAGAATGTCCTGGACGGACAACGTTTCGGTCCGTCTTGAGAATGGTCCAGGACGACGTCGTCGTCCCTTCACCTTCTAGTGTGTGGTCTGGTCAACATTTTTCAGCCACGTTATACATAGTCTTCCCGGTTTGGTGCCATCATTTTGATAATAACTTACTTCAGTCACGTTATTGTGACTCATCGCCTGATACACAGAGAAATCACAGTAGCGTGATATATCCCTCCTCCTCCTTCCCCATGTGTTCTTCCTGACAGGTTGTGGCAGGAGTTCATTTATGTTACGTCTGAAAACTTTCCTCTCCATGTTTATTCTTTTTAGGATCAATTTTGTTTTTTTTTCCAATCTGTTTATCCACGATTCAAGTTTCCCATTACTTGTAGCTTTGCTCTCAATCTGAAGAATATTTCACCCCTGTGCTTGGAGAGATATTCATGAAAGGTTTGTATATAATATGTTTTTTCTTAGTGTTGTTTGGGTCCTCTGTGGCTGTTTGGGAGAGTTGAAGGTCACTGAACTACCTCCCAGGACATTGTCTGTAGAGTTTGGTTCCATCTCAATCTCAATTTCCTCAATCAATCTCCTCCATCTCGATTAATTAAAAAGTCTTCCTTCTTCTTCTAACAAGTAATGCGTGTGCATAATTAATCGTATTAGTTGTAAAAGAAAATTAACAAAATTGATGACAAGAGCTTAGCAGGAGCAGCAGGTGTCGCCAGAGGCATTAATTAGGGAGAGAGAGAAGGTGGGGGCGTAACAGGTAAATGTCTAAATTAACTCCTAAGACGACCATCGTCCGTCGGAGCAGGCCGGCTCACCTGGCTTATCCCCTCGTAAAGTCACCTGACGTGGGCCTTAACTATCCTCTAGCTGATGCTGCTTGCTACGGGCTCACCATAGCCCGTGCTCCATGGAACTTTTTGTTCCAGGGAGCGAATCTTAAACAACAACAAATGATGCTGCTTGTACCCTCCACACAC